ATTTCTATTAAGTTTTCTTTACTTTTTTCCAAATTTTATAAATTCCCAAAAACTTTTTAAAAATCCCCTGTGTAAAAAGTTCTTCTAAAAAGGTATTTTAAAGGGATTTTGTTGAAAACTTATATTAAATTTTAAATTTGTAAACATTTTATAACATTTTGTGTCAGTTTTTAGTGTTTATTTTGAAATCCTTTTTAAGATTTTTCTAGGATTGTGCCGGGATTGCTGAAAATCAAGAAATCTTATCTTTTTACGTGTTATTAACAGTTTTTTACAGTGTTTTTTTGATTTGTTAAATTTTTTACTCATTTACTAATTATCCTGTGGATGTGAGTGTTTGTTTTTCCTTTTTTACTCCTGAAAAGGAGAAATTTGAAATTGAGACTTTTCTTGCTCGCTTGATTGAGTGTATTTTTTAAATGAGTCTTTTTTTGGAATACATGTGTTTTTTATGTTTATGTTTTTGAAGAGTTTGTGTGTAGCAATGCGCGCGTTACTATCTTAAAAAAAAACAACAACATGATTGTGTTTAATTAAGTTCAATTATTCATTATTGAGTGTGTTTTAAGAAATTAAAAAGAGATTTCTTTTCTGTCTTAAAATGAGAGAGTTTAAATTTAGTTTCTTTCTTCTTTTTGCTGCCAGCCAGCTGGCTTGTTTTTGTAGGTTTTGTATTTTATTGTTGTTGTACTTGTTAATTACTTAACTTAAATTTGTTGTAATAAAGTTTTTTTTCTTCTTGATTTTTTTAAGAAGAGTTTTGTGTAAAGAGTATGAATTATTTGAAAGAATTTTTGTTGATGAGAGTTGATGTATCAGGCCTGGAGATATGAAATTTTCTATTAAAATGGAATTTACTTTTTTTCAAAAAAAGTATATTTTTAGAAAATTTTAGGAAGAATTAGTTTTTGTTGGATAAATTTATGAATTGTTTTAATCAATGGCCTCGTCTATACTTAGCTTGGTGTTTCCATATATTAGCCCAAGTAGGCTCCTAAGGAGATGGACGATACTTACAGTGATAGTGTACATGGACTGGTATAGAATGCGATTAATAGGACGTTAGACACAGCATTTTCCTACCTCTCCAAAAGCACGATAAATACTCACCAACCAGAAGACTAGAGGAAGTGTCAAAAAGACATACTCCAGTCAACACTTGACCAAGGGCAAGATTGCTAAAAATGCTGCAAATAGCATCCAACCATGAGCGAGAAGAGGACGATGACAACCTATCTCGCCCAAGGCAGCAGCCCAAAATACAGAGAGGCCTAAGTGAAACCGCTGAAAATGTCAGTCAACCATGAGCGAGAAGAGGAAGATGACAACCTATCTCGCCTAAGGCAGCAGCCCAAAATACAGAGAGGTCCAAGCGAAACCGCTTTCAGACAGAGACAGGAAAGTTACCTAAATGGAGAGAGGTTGCCGACCGAAAAACCACGCTTTAGAACCCTCAACAAGCACAACCAAATTCTAGACCTTTTAACGAGGTGGAGACGGATCATCACCTCATGGTTTAAAGTAATAGAATGGGGTGCCATCGTATTCAAATTATCTGAGATAGTAATGTATCACTTTCTGGCAAATAAGGATAGTAGGGTACCTTGTTTTGACACCGGTCTTGATGGAGTCCTTTAGAACTATATCGAAAAGTGGAACTATAAAATCAGCCAATGTATAGGATGGTTTAAGTCTTAAACTGAGATCAGTCGTGGCAATTCCAATAGAACATGTTAGAATATCTTAAGCTGCAGAACCCTAACTTACACATGAATGATTGGTTCATCAGTCGGACCGCTCAAGACGATGGTAAGATATAACTAGCCATTAGGGAATAACTGGCCATTAGGGAATCAGAGCTCCCTGCACTTAGAGAAGAAGAGGCTTTAGACAGTTCTTTGGGATGAGGGACGGAAGGATAAAAGTCCATGGACTAGTTTATTGACTAGTCTATAGACCAATCTACGGAGTAGTCTCTAGACCAGTCTATCGACTAGCCTATGGACTAGTCTTGGAACTGTTTCTAGACCAGTCTATCTAGCATTTTTGAAAACTACCAGCGCTGTTTGTACATTAGCGTCCAGCGCATTATGGATTATGAGGGATTATGAGGGATTTTGTTAAGGTTCTTCCTGTTGCTGCTGCTGATAGAATTGCTCATAGGAATTAAGATAAGCAGCATAGCCGCTTGAATGAGTAGTAGTCAAGAATAGCTGTAATTGCTGATGCTGCTGTTTTTGTTGCTGAAAGTCCTTCCTCAACAGAGTTCTCCGCTTCTGTTGAGGAAGTTTGAGTACAATATATTGCTGTATTGGAGGCAGCAGTTGAAGGCCCCGTTGCTCCTAATCCAGCTGTTGCTGTGACAGTTTGAGAGAAGGCCGGCGTAAACACCCCAACCAGGTCTTCTGTAGAATCAATCGCCGCTATTCGAGATGTATTGGATGAGAAAATATTATGCGAGTTATTATGAGAGTTCTCCGCTTCTGTTGAAGAAGTTTGAGTAGAATATATCCCTGTATTGGAGACAGCAGTTGAAGGCCTCGTTGCTCCTAATCCTGCTGTTGCTGTGGCAGTTTGAAAGGCGGCCGGTATAAACACCCCAACCAGGGTTTCCGCCTTATGTAACGGCAGCATTTCAGTAGTTAAAGTCGCCATGAATTGCCTACATAGAGTGGCCATATATTGCGTACATATAGTGGCCATGTATTGCCATGACGTGACGTTTCTTAGCGTTTAAATAAAGTTTTAATTGGCGCTAGATGTTTGCAGTTCAAAAGGGATATTAAAGGAGGAATATGTGTTTAAACCTTTTGGTTTTGCGATTCTGATTTGTTGATTATAACTAAGCACTACTCATTAGACCAGGATACTGACTATGCTTTTCATTGATTTGTGGACTAATCTTTTCACTAGTCTATGGTCTTATCAATAGTCTAATGACTAGTCCACCGACTAGTCGATTGACTAGTTTATATATTTAATATATATTAGGAGAACTGCGTAACTTTTCACTGGTAAAAAGTCTTAAAGTACAGAATTTTCCATCCCTGATTAGTCTGTTATATTATCTTCTTGCTATTATTCTTTGGTTCGGAAATTTCTGAGAGAATTGTAGAATTGTGTTTAACTTCTTTAAAAAAATTCTGTTAATTAATAAAATTTCAAAGGAATTACTTAGTTTGAGTGTTGCTGTAAGCTGCTAGAATTTTCTTATAAAAACTGAGTGATATTATTGGATAATATTAGAGCGCAGAGTTTAAAATTTAAGAGTGAGTGATATTGAGTTGGAAATTTTGAAAGAGAGTTAACTAAGATATGAGTTTAGTAGTTGTTATTGCTGCTTTTAATTCCTTTTTTTTTGTACATTCTACTTTTGCCTCATATTTATTGGCGCGCATCTTTGTTAACGTTTCGCACAACATCATCAACAACATGATAATGATGATTTTGTTGTTGTTGTTCTTGGTTAATTTGTAGTGTTCGCTCTCTCTCTCTCTCTCTATCCTTCTTTCTGCCTTTTACATATTATTCGTATGCAGTTGTATTAGGGTAAGTGATTGTGTATGTTGGTGTGTGTTTGTTTGTTTGTTGGCCTGTGTGTATGTTTTGAGCAGTTATTGTTGTTGTTGTTGTTTTTGTTCACACAAAATATAATTTTTGTATTTTTGCCTTGGTTGGTTGTTTGGTCATTTAAACAGGACATTGAGTTTAGAATTAGACAGCGCGTGTTACAGAGCGGTTGGCATTTTTACAAGCTTTAAGAAGCGCCCTCTTCTTTTTTAACACTTTTTAGTTTTTTCCTTTAAAAAAAAATTAAAACCAACACTTTCGGCTTAAACATTTTTGGCTTAACAAAAAAACAACAAAAATTTTTGGACATTTTATTAACAAAAAAGAAAATTTTTTAGTTTAAAATTTAAAAATTTTAAGTTTACAAAATTTTGCAAAACAATTTTTAAGTTTAAATTTTATGTTTTATAAAAGAAAAAGTGCAAAAACACACAAAAAATCAAAATTCAAAATTTGTTACACTTTTAAGTTACATTCATTTATTAAAAATTTATTATTTAAAAAAAATTATTTGTTTGAAAAATAAAAAAATAAATAAAATTAACGCGCGGTTTATTTAAAAACGCTAAAACCAACTAAAAATTAAATAAATTAAAAACAACAAACCTTAAAAAAAACAATTAAAAATAAATGGTAATTATTTAAAAAAAATAAATTGTGACAAAAGAAAACTGTAAAAGAATTTCAAAGATCATTTTATAAAAAAAGAATAAAGAAGAAAATTAACAAAAAAAAGAGAGACTCCAGCATAACAAATAAAACTCAAACAAACCGTTGGATTTACTCTTTTTAACACTACACTGCTAGAAATTTTTTAATAAAATTTTAAAACATTTTAAAACAATTAAAAAAAAACTCTAAAACAAATGGAATAATTAATTATAATTATAAAATTATCTTAAAATTATAACAAAAAACTTATAAAGTTTACAAAAATTGCAAAGAAATTAAAAAATAAAAAAAAATTATTTCAAAATTATAAAAAAAATATTATAAATTAAAAAACTTTTATAAAAACTAAAACAAAAATTAAAATAATTAATGAATTTAAAGAAAACACTTAAAATTTTCAAAAAACTTTTGAAAATTTTCTTAAACAATTCATGGAAGTTAAAGAAAAAATAAAAAATTTTATGTAAAACAAAACATAACATTTAAAAGAAATTTAAAAAAGTTTTCTTAACAAATAAAGAACTTTAAAAAAAGACACTTAATTTTCTCTAAATTGAGTTTTTTTTTAAATAAAAATCTTGAGTTTTTTTGGTTTTAAATCCTGTTTAAATTCAGTTATATGTGTTTGTATGCTGTTATATATATATGTGTGTGTGTATGTGTTTTAAAAAAGAAATGTCTTTGAAAATTCTTAAATGAAATCCTTGTGAAAAAAATGGCCTCTAAAACCAGTTTTTCTTATACATTCCAACAACTAGATTTGAGCAACAACATCACGAAACATAACTCAACTAACCAGAACTCTTAACAGCAGCAAGAAAGTCTAAAACCTTAAAGGATTCCATATTCCCATTTCAATATCCCTTTTGTACCACAAAAACAACTAACAACAATTAAAACTTTCTTTAAACGTTAACAAAAAACGCCACGCCACTCTATGTAGGCAATAAATGGCCACTTTAGCTACTGAAATGCCGCCGTTACATACGGCGGAAGCCCTGGCCGGGGTGTCAACGCCGGCCTCCTCTCAAACTGCCACAGCAACAGCAGGAGTAGGAGCAACGGGGCCTTCAACAGCTGCCTCCAATACAGGCATAGATTCTACTCAAACTTCCTCAACAGAAGGGGAGAATTCTCATAATATAGTGTCCTCCAATACAACGCAAACGAATAGCAATAATACCATTTCAGCGGCGGCTGATTCTTCAGATAATCAACCGGGCACACCGCAACCTCATTTAAATTCTTCAGCCGAGCAACAACAACAATCTAGCAGTGCTCATCATCCTTATGCTAATCATCATATGTATGCTAATAATCCACATCCTGCAACTTCCAGTGCCCCCAATAGCCATCTGAATCAAATGTATAATCATCATATTTATGCACAATCCAATATGGACTTACAGCAACAACAACAGCAGCATCAACAGCAGCAACAACAACAACAGCAATTGCAGCAACCTTTGACTCCTACTCATCAAAGCGGCTATCCCTCCTATCTTAATTCCTATGAGCAGTTCTATCAGCAGCAGCAACAACAACAACAGCAGCAACAATCTACCCAAAATCCCTCACAATCCTCTAGCCAAACTTCTAATCCTCAGCAAATGGATTACATAAATTCCAACTCTAACTCCATGTATTCAGCTTCGGAATATAAACAACAATCGGGTGTACGTTATCATCCCTATTTGCATACCCCCACCTCGGGCATACCCTCGGTTAATTCCCAAAATTCCAATTCAAATAATGCGCTGGACGCTAATGTACAAACAGCGCCGGTAGTTTCCAGTGCTTCTTCTTCGGTCATGAGTCCGCGTGTGGTTAGCTCTACTAGTCCTTCCTCTTCCAGCCAACAAATGCATATAAGTGGTAGTGCCAGTAGTATAGGCAGCTTGAGTGCTGGTAATCCCAGTTCACCCAATTCGGCCGGTGGTACTCCTCAGTGCAAAAAATGCGGCATAATGTGTACCAATGAAACGGAACTACAGGAACATATAGCTAATGTTCATGGTGCTTCTCCTTACGGTAGCAGTGGTTATGCCAGTTCTCCCTATATCAAAGAGGAAATGCAACAGCAGACGCCTCCCTCACAAACCCAGCAACAACAACCACCAGCCGCCGGGCAACAACCCGCCTCTACACAGGGTGGAAATCCCGGGGAAATTTTAGATTTGGATTCTCAGAAAATGTTATATCCTCCTGTGCCGGGTTCCATACCCCACATGATGCAGCATCAACCTTTGGCCAATACCGATCCTTTACATGGTTTACACAGCATGCAGCAAAGAGCCGGTCTAAACTCTTGGGATCAACAGTCTCAGGAGGGTTTGCCACCCTACTTGCAGCAGCAACAACCTCCTCAAACCAACACAGAATCCAAAAATCTTCCTCAACACTCACCCTACTATCAGCAATCTCCCAAACAGTCGCCCTATCATGTTTCCAATAGTTCGAATACCATGAAAACGGAATATCATCCTTTAATTAAAAATGAATATTCTTCAGATTCTCAACAATATCTATCGGATAAATCATTTGATCCTACACAACCTCAGCAACAGCAGCAACAACAAATGATGCCACCGGCGGTATCCTCCAGTCCGGCAGAGTTTCCCTCTACCACCACAGGAGGACCTCAGGATAATAGCCAGCAAATGGTCAACAATTCACAACAGTTTAGGGCTGGCAACTTTGAGCCTCCCTCTTCAAGTTCGACCACCATAAGTACAGGTCCGTTAAGTGGCAAGGCCGCCAACTGGAAGTCCAATGAGGCCAGAAGACCTAAAACCTATAATTGCACCGCCTGCAATAAATGGTTTACCAGTTCGGGTCATTTGAAAAGGCATTACAACACTACTTTGCATAAAAATGCCGTCAAATCTAGTGGACAACCCGATCCAGCTACATTACCCATATCGGCTCATCATCATCCAGCCAGAGATCCCTCGGGTAAAAGCAGCCGTAGAGCCGCCGCAGCAGCAGCTGCTGCCCAAGCCGCCAATAGTCAACAACAGCAGCAGCCGCCAAATCCAGTGCAACCGCCGGAACCGCCTAATAGTCCGCAGGATTATGGCGGGTCCCAGGTGGCAGCTGGTGGCTTAACGCCTTTGTCTCACTATGCTGCCACTCCCTCGCCCAATAGCATGTATGGGCAGCAGCAGCAATATCAACATAATCAGTACATGCCCCAGGTACAATCCACGACAAACGCTTCACCACAGCATGCTTCACCGATGGCCAGCGGTCATCATTTACAACAGCAACAACACATGAATCAACAACAACAACAAACCGTAATGAACGGTCACCCAAACGCGTTAGCAGGCCCCTCCGTCCCAACCACTCAACAAACGCCAATGCCGTCCTCCCAAATGAGGGGCCTGCTGAACAACACATCATCCACCACAACAACAATGCATATAATAAAGAACGAACACTTGGAGGCGGCAACCTTGGAGGAGGAACAACAGCAGCAGCAACAGGAGCAGTTGCAGGAGGAGGAGGATCCGGAGGAAGCGGAACGCTACATAACGGACCCGGAAGAGGAGGTGGAAGAGTTGGGCTACCTCACGAGAGTTCCGGTGAAGGAGGAAGTATTAACGGAGACGGAACAGCAGCAGCACAACAACATGTACTCGCCAAAGGCCGACATGGAGGAATTGGCGGAGGAGCAGCCATTGGCAGCGCCAGTTCACAGGGAAGTGGATCCCAATGTGGCACCCCACCACAATCAATTAGCTCCCTATCATCTGGAGCAGCAACAGCAGCAGCCACAGCAGGCGGACATGGACATGGAGCGTCTCTATCACAACACCACGCCCAGCAGCACTCACAGCAGCAGCAACAACATGCCAGTCCACTCGCCCCTTATTATCTCCCACCAACAATACCAGGAGCAACTGCAGCAGCTGCCACCACACCAAATGGTGGCTCAGGACACTTATACCCTCACGCAAACCCCTCCGCCGCCGCTGCAGCAGCAGCAGCTGCCGCCTCATCACAGTATAATGGATCAACAGCCTTACATCAACATGCCTTTGGCTATCAACACGCAGCAGCCGCCCAACAGTATGCTGCTGCAGCAGCAGCCGGATACTACCATCCCCATGCCCAACACCATCCCCACCACGCCCACCACTATGGTCAATATGCTGGCGCCCAGCCACCACCACATGCCGCTGCCGCCGCAGCAGCATACGGAGCTGCAGCCGCTAGTCAATATGCAGCAGCAGCCGCTGGACACCAACAATACCAATACCCAGCACATGCTGCCGTCGCACATCACCACCAGCAACATCACCAACATGGCATCGTACCACCAACTGCAGCAGCCGGGCTCGGTACTGCCACCGCTGGACCACACGCTGACCTATCCTCACACTATTATTGGTAATAGTTTAAGCAATGCGGATGTCTTGACACTCGATGCCTATGGCAATTTGGTGACGGCTAATGGTCAACAGGTTATACAAACTAGTGATGGTCAATTGTTGCAATTGATTTCATCGGGCCCATCGGGAGCCACAACTTTGTATTCTACACAGTCGTACAATCCCTATATGGCACAGAGATCACCTCAGGAAGGTGATTTACCACCCATGACACAACATTATCAACAGGAGCCAACAACCACTACCTTAACTGTCTTGCCACCCTCTATGAGTTATTCACCCTCGAATGGTAACTCCAATTGCTCGGAACAGGAATATAAACCCTCACTAACGGAGGATTATATCAACAATAACTTCCAGGAGGAACAGCAGCAGCCACAACAACAACCGTTAGAGAATAGAGCCAGTCCAAAGGAAACAACTACCTCAAGCACTACCACCACCACCACCACTACTACTACTACCTCCAATAAACGCAAACGTAATCCCAGCACTTCCAGTTCTATAGGAGCCAATAGCACCATGCTACCCAGTGGCCGTATCAAGTGTCTGCCCTGCGATAAGGAATTCACCAAAATCTGCTATCTCACCCAGCACAATAAAAGTTTTCATTCCGGTGAGTATCCTTTCCGTTGTCAAAAATGCGGCAAACGCTATCAATCCGAAGATGTTTATATCACCCATTTGGGCAAGCATAAAACCACCGATAAGGCTCACAAATGTGACATTTGTCCCAAACAATTTCATCATAAAACCGATCTACGGCGTCATATAGAAGCCATACATACGGGTAATAAACAGCATTCTTGTGATATTTGCGAAAAGAGTTTCTGTCGCAAAGATCATTTGCGCAAACATTTGGAAACACACAATCGTCCCCGTTTGGTGGCCAAAAAGACCAATAGTAGAGCTAATAACAGTATAACCGCTGCCTTTGCTAAGGTTAATAAAAAATCCAAAGATCCAAACACCACCCAAATACCTCTTAGTAGTCCTAGTCCTTTAGCGAATGCAGGGAATCAAACTATTAATTCATTGCCCTCGATGGCAGCCCAAATTAATGAGACAAATTCCTTAAGTTCTGCCACCACTTCTACTCCCTCCCCCTTGACTCATCACATCGATGATGTGGCTGTCGATGATGAGGATTTATTAGATGATGAATTAGATGAGTATGATAATCAGGAATTGGAGGATAATGAAGAGTACTTAACTATGGCCGAGTATGAACAGCAGATCCAACAAATGCAAAGTGTTCAAGGGCAATATTTAATGGGAAATAAACAGGTTTATCAAATGGTTGAACAGGAGTTACCCATGTATTAGAGAGAGATTTTTAGAAAAAGAAGAGAGGGATTTTGAAAGAGCTTTAGAGGGTAGAGAGCAGAGAAAGTTTTGTTTAAAAGAGAAAGAGATTTGTTTGAGTTTGTTGAGAAGAAAGAGAAAATGTTGTTAAACTGACAATTTTTTTCTAAACAAAAATGTTTGGGACTGCGAAAGTGGCCCAATTAGGGGCCGTTATTTGAAAAGGAAACGTTTTAAAGGAAACTGATTTTTGGTTTAAATTGAGAAAAGCTGTGAAAACTTTCTCTTTAAAAAAGAGATTTAGAAGAACGAAAAGACCCTACTTCTAAGCAGAAAATAGAGCTTTTCTTGACTTAAGAGAAAAACGAAAGAAAAGAGTGGAAAAGCTGCTCATTCGTGAAAGTTTTTGCAAAGAGATGCGAAAGAGCTAAAGTTTAAACTTCTAAGCAAAACGAGAGCTTCTCTTTATAGGAAAACTATAGGAACAGAGGAAGAGACACTGCTCATTTTTAATGATAAACTTTTAAGGAAAACTTTTACATTCGAAAAGCTCTCTTTGTTAAGAAAGAGTTACAAAAATGAAGATTCATCAGGATTAAGAGAATTGACAGAGTTCTTTGTTAAGTGTTATAAAATGAGAGAAATTAGCAGATTTCTCTAAACAGCTTTAGAATCTTTATTTTAACTCCCAGAAAGCTTTAGAAGATCCAGCATCAAAAAAGAGAGCTTTTGTAGATTTCTTTAAACAAAATTAGAACGTGTGGCATTAAGTGTATTCTTTATCGGTTTTACATGGTTTAAAGAGAATAAAAAGCTTTAGGAGATCAGAAAATAAAGCTTAAAGAAAGCTTTTACTCATTTAATTAGAAAACAAAGAAGAAAGAAGAGAAATTTGTTGTTAAACATAAAGTCTAAAAGCTAAAAGTTACAAAATCTTGCAAATGTTTGAGATAGCTTAAAAGAGATTGTAAACCACGCAGAGAACAAACGCTTAAGCATACAGAGAGTATTGAGAGATGTTTAATTCTTCTATTTAAAACTGCTTTATTGTATAAAAAAAATAAACTTGAAAATTTGACAAGTTTTAAATAGAAAAATTAAACATTTTTAAACGAAAAAGTTTGGAAAGAAGAAAACAAATTTTTTTAAAATTGAAAGAAATTTTTTAAAATATAAAGAAATTTTTAAAATTTAAGAAAATTTTTAAAATTTAAAGAAATTTTTAAAATTTAAAGAAATTTTTTTAAAATTCAGAATTAAAAATTAAATTTTGATTGGAACAATATTTTAAAAAATGGGAAAATTTTGAAAAAAATTTAAAAAATTTTAAAAATTTAAAAAAATTTTTAAAAATTGAAATAATTAAAATTTTTTTAAAAAAAGTTTCAAAAATTTTTAAAAAATTTCAAAATTGAAAAAAAAATTATTTTAAAAATTGTTTAAAATTAAAGAAATTTGTATAAAATTTAAAAAAATCTTGGTTTAACAACATATTTCTTTGAAAAACAAAAATCAAACTTTTAAATAAAAAACAATCTTTAACAAAACTTAAAACCTCTTAACCCTTGCAAAGCCCTTTTCTACTAGACTTGCCAATCAATTGTTATTTGAAATAAAATCAGGAAAAAACTTTTTTTTTTACAATAAAAAAAGTCAAACATATAGTGATACCAAAACTTAAACTATATCAGGGATTATTAGTGTTAATAATTACAAATAATATATATTTTTTATTTTTATATTTTAATTTAAAATTGTTTTAATTTTTTATTTTTATAATTTTTTTATTTTTATAAATTTTATATAAAACTCACTTTGTGTCATATATATAAATTATAATTTATAAATTATAATTTTTATTAAAAAAAACAAATAACCAACAAAAGTATTTTTTTGAAAAATTTTGTGTATTATTATTATTTTTTTATTTTATTATTAATAATAAATTGTTATTAGTATTTTAAGTTAAACGAAAAAAAAGAAGAACTTCCTTTTTAGTAAACCGCACTATTCCACTAGACTTAATTAATTTAATTTGATTATGATTTTTTCTAATTCCTAAAGAATACTCTTTTTTTACTTAACTACCTATTGTTGTTTTAATTTTATTTAAGAAAAAAAAAAACAAATAAAAGACAAATTTAAAAAAACTTAAAAAAAGTTCCATGAACTTTTTTATTATTTTTTTATATATAAAATTATATGTATTATTTTTTATTTTTTTAATTTTTGTATAAAATTTTTCTTATATTAATTTTTAATTATTATTTCTTTTAGTGTCTTATAATTTTATATATTAAAAAAAAACAAAAAACATATTACTTTTAATTTAAATTTACTTTAAAAAGTAGTTAAAAGAATGACCCCAAAACAAAGAGTACAGAAAAAAAGTATTTAACAAAAAAATGTGAAAAAATAAATTATTATTTTGTTTTAAAACAAGAATTATTTTGTTTGTGTTTTATTTATTTTTTATAATTTTTTTTAATTTTTTTAAACAAATTTCCAAGATTTTGTTTTAAAACTTCAAAAAAGTTTTTTAGTAAAAAATTGCTTTTGCTGAAGAATTTTGTAGGAAAATGTTTATTAAATTAAAATAAAATATATAGCCAAGACTTTAAAGTTTTATTTCAGAAAATTTCCTTTAAATCTGAAATCAAATTTGACCCAAAAACATAGAGAAATCTTAGAAAAGATTATATTAATATACATTTTTTTAAATTTAGGAAAAATTTAAAAGTTTTTAAACTTATGACTGAAATTTAAAACAATTTTGTCTCAAATTTTAATTATTAGAGTTCTGGGAACATTGCTCTAAAATTTCTTTGAAATCCTACTAAAATTAGGGCCTAGAGAATAAAAATCTTGGGACCACTGACACAAAATACAAATGTTTCAAACAAAAATCTTAAATAGTGAACAATTTTGCAAGAAATATTTAACAAATACTTCAGTCCATAGGTTACTAACACTCTAGGGCATCGACCTCCAAAATTTGTTTTAAATCGGTTCAAAATTATAACCTACAGGGTAATTAATAATCAAGAGGTCAAGGTTGTTATTAGACACAAGATAAATGTTTCTAACAAAACTCTTAAATAGTGAACAATTTTGCAAGAAGCATTTAACTAAAGTTTAAACTAATAGATTACTAATACTCCAGGGCATCAGTATCCAAAATTTTATACAAATCGGTTCTAAATTATAACCCACAGAGCAAAACAAAAGATTTGTATTCCAAAAATATCTTATTAAAAGAAATTTAGCAAAAAATCGCCTTTAAAAGAAAATTTTATAAGAAACATTTAACTGAAGCCACAACAACACTCAAGTGGTCTAGCCCCTAAAATTTTATTCATATCTGATCAAAATTGTAAGCATGAGAGCAAAATCAAAATAGATAATTTTTTTAAATTTTCTTGCTGAAAACAAATTGTTCTTTGTAAAAACAGCTTTAGTGAAAACTTTTGTGGGAATGATTTAACTAAATTTATAAGCTATAGCTTAACAAGACTCTGGGAAACTTAATCCCAAAATTTTATTCAAATCTGATAAAAATTGTTAACTTGGGACCCAAGCAAAAGTGATTAATTTTGAATAATTTTCATATTAAAGAAAATTTTATTTGCATAAAATCAGCGCTAGTGAAAACTTTTCTGAGAGGCGGTTAACTGAAGTTAAAATCTATGGATTGACAAGACATCAATGAAGTATGAACCGAAATTTTATTAAAATCGGTTCTGAATTATAGCTTGTAGAGCAAAATGAAAACCGATTAATTTAGACAATTTTCTAATTGAAGAAAAAAGTCTCTTCATACAATCGGCTATAGTGAAAACTTTTGTTAGAAGCAATTAACTGAAGTTAAAATCTATGGATTGACAAGACTTCAGTGAACCGTTTCCCAAAGTTTTATTTAAATCGGATCAGAATTATAACCTACAGAACGAAATGAAAAGTGAAGTAGTTATTTAGAAAAATTTCTTATTGAAAAGTAAAGTGCCTTCATACATTCGCCGTTAGTGAAAACGTTTGTTAGAAAAGTTTAACAGAAGTTATACTCAATAAATTAACAAGTCCTAAGTGGACCACTTCCCGAAATTTCATTGAAATCTGAACAAAATTATAACCTTTAGAGCAAAACGAAAATCGAAGAATTTTGAAATTGTTCTTATTAAAGTGAATGGTTTCTCCATACATTCGCCGTTAGTGAAAACTTTTGTGAGAAAAGTTTAACTAAAGTTTTAATCTATGGATTAGAAAAACTTAAGTGAACCACTCCTGAAAATTTTATTGAAATCGGATCAAAACTATAACCTATAGAGCAAAACTAAAAGCGAAGAATTTGGAAATTATTTTTATTAAAGAAAATGGTTTCTCCATACATTCGCCGTTAGTGAAAACTTTTGTGAGAAAAGTTAAACTAAAGTTTTAATCTATGGATTAGAAAAACTTAAGTGAACCACTCCTGAAAATTTTATTGAAATCGGAACAAAACTATAACCTATAGAGCAAAACAAAAAGCTAAGAATTTGGAAATTATTCTTATTAAAGAAAATGGTTTCTCCATACAATCGCCGTTAGTGAAAACTTTTGTGAGATAAGTTTAACTGAAGTTATAATCTATGGATTAGCAAGACTTAAGTGGACCTCTTTCCGAAACTTTGTTGAAATCGGAGCAAAATTATAACCTATAGAGCAAAATCAAAAATGAAGAATTTTGAAATTTTTCTTATTAAAGGAAATGGTTTTTCCTTATATTCGCCTTTAGTGAAAACTTTTGTGAGAAAAGTTTAACTGAAGTTTTAATCTATGGATTATCAAGACTTAAGTGTACCACTCCAAAAAATTTTATAGAAATCTGATGGAAATAATGGCGTGCAGAGTCAAAACTTAAGAAAGAACTTTTTAAAAATCAAACTCTAAGATCTAAATAATGCTCTAAGAAGAAATTTTGTTCTATAATTTTCCAAATTTCTAAAAATGTTTCTTTCAAAACTATTGCAAAATACAAGATCAAGGGACTCAGTTAACTTTGAAGAACATACTCTTACAATTTCGCTTAAATCTAAAACAAATTGCTTTACAGAGTTCACTATCTCTTAAAAGTTCTTTTCATTACTTTACTTTTCATTTTGTACACAAATATTGCCGATGACAATCAATCTTGTCATCTACTATTTATCAAATTAGATAGATCATTATGTAATCATCATGACGTTAACAATTCCTAATTTCTTATCTTTTTTCCCTTAAGTTTCAAATCATACAAACAAAAATATTATAACTGCAATTCAAGTGTTTATCAAGGACTTTCCTTAAGTTCTTTAAAAAATTCTTCTTCTTTAGATTGTTCTTAAAGATTCTTTTAAAAATATAATAATGTTTTTCAAAAAAATACTTTTTCTTTCAAGAGGAAGAATTTTGTTTTTCATTAGAGAACAATATAAATTGGGGATGTTTTAAAATTCGTTATAGATACTGATACATTCACATACACTATCTTAAGTTTCTTTTGAAACACACAGATACAAATTTTGTTTTTTTTTATAATATAACTATCATAACACATTAGTTTGTTGTTGTTTTATTGTTTTGAAGAATACAATCAACAACAAACTACTATTCTTTAGTTTCTTTATAAAAGTAAACGTCGTATACATAATGTATTCAATATTTTGTGTGTTGAAATGAAATGCAAGAGTTTGGCATCGTGAGAGATGCCATTTGAAGGGGAAGAAAAGTTAGCGGAAATTTTTGGGACTAAAAAAATGATAGAGCCTAGTATATAGTCCATATTATAGACTAGTATATAGACCAGATTATAGACTACACTATAGTCCCAACTATAGACTAGTCTTGTCTATAGTCTAGTCGATAGTCTAGTCTATAGCCTAGTCTATAGTCTAGTCTATAGTCCAGTCTATAGTCTAGTCTATAGTCTAGTCTATAGTCTAGTCTATAGTCTAGTCTATAGTCTAGTCTATAGTCTAGTCTATAGTCTAGTCTATAGTCTAGTCTATAGTCTAGTCTATAGTCTAGTCTATAGTCTAGTCTATAGTCTAGTCTTAGTCTAGTCTATAGTCTAGTCTATAGTCTAGTCTATAGTCTAGTCTATAGTCTAGTCTATAGTCTAGTCTATAGTTAGTCTATAGTCTAGTCT